CTGAACCAATGTTTTCATGAGCTTTTGAGGTGTTAGAGAGCTTCCCCCTTTAGGGATTGCTCTATGAAAAAGCGTTGCTGAAGGAGAAAGCTTTTAATTTCAACTATTAAATGTGTGTGTGGACAGTGCACTTATCACTATGCAAACATGAAGATGTGCTGCATAGCCCCAAGATAATTATAATCTACAGAAACGGTTCCCAGATGAAGAGGATACAGTTTGCAGTCTTTCAGTGTGAGAATCAATGGTGATGACTAATCAGAAGCAGGATAAAAATAAAAGTAAATATAAGTAAAGTAAAAAAAGAGAAATATGAGTGTGGAGGAAAAAAAACACAACCACCCTAAAATATGTTTATTCATTGAAATGAAGATGGAAAGCAAAAGTTAAGCATAGAAATAGCACAAACAAGCTACAAAGCAGAATGAGATAAAAGGTAGAAGAAGCACAAATAACCTCAGTCCCATATGTTAGCTGATCACATGGTTGGTGCAAAACATTCTAAGGCTTTAGAGCAGCAGTGTAGTAGTGAACGTAGCCCTGCAGATTTCAGCTAATACCCTTTGCTATATACAATCAAATCTCTGGATGCTTCTTCTCTGTCTTTTTCCCCCATCAGAGCAAATCTGCATGGCTTTGACATGTAGGTGGGAGTATGTGACTGGAGCTGTGAGGAGTTCCCAGCAGTCTGTGTTTGATGGGATTGCAGTGATTCACAAGAATTGCCTCAGTCCAATGCATAGTTAGTATGCAGTTGGACAGGCTCGTAAAACTCTTCTGATCCTTGTTTTCCTGATTCTTCTTGACAGACAACAGGCATAGAACTGTTGGTGAAGTCTGTATCCGTTCCAGGGACAAGTGATAGTGTGGTGAGTTTTTCTGTGACATAAATTGGGTCAGAAAGAGGCATCCGGAGCTCAAACCTCACTTCGTTCTCGTTCTGGAGGAACATCACTCTGCATGTTCATAAGGCTATTAAGTTGCATTAGAGAAATGAGGCTGATCATGTACAACTGCTGATACTGCAAGGTTAGCTTCATCTCAAAAATATAAGTTTTACTTCCTTGTATCAAACATGACATCTTAAATCAAAGCTGTAGCCAGCTTTGTTAGGATTCTGTTTCGTCCTTTTGGGCGCTCAGGTTTAGTTCATGTTTCTTAAAACTACAGAAGCTGGAACTTACGTGTTATTTTCCCCTAACTCCCAATGCTCCCACTGGTGGAATATGAACCATGTGTATAATTGTGTATAAATAGTGCAGGTTACTGTCCCACTCCACATATTCTGTTTCCAGTAGGGATGGAAACTGTACTTGGGGCCTTTGGCCCTTTTGATGGTTATACATGAAAAATAGCTATTTCTTTTCTCAACCTGTCTGAACTGCAGTATTCTCAGTGCAGGGAGCTTATCCCTTAGGGATACCACATTGCTGTACTGTACAAAATGCAGGAGTTATAAGTTCCAGTGTTTACTTTCAAAATCTTTCTCTATACTGCAGTTTTCCTGGCAAGAGCCTTCTTTCTGCTTCCGCTTTCAGGAATTCTTCATTTTTGACTCTGCAGGAAAAGATCTATTTTCTGAAATGCTGGAGAAACTGGTAAGTCTTATGTAACAGTCCTCTTCTTCCAAAGAAGTGCTTTTGCTTTGAAGATCTGAACTCCCCAGTCTGGCAGATGTAGCAAACTTTGTCTTTAGTGTAAATGGGAGCAATTACCTCAGTTGCCAATGCATCCTGTTCTACCTCTCTAAAACTTGTAAAAGTACCAGAAGAAATACTTTCCAGAGGAAGGAAGGCTGATAGTCACTCAGTTTTCTTACAAAAGAAATAGGGATGTTTATCTGAGGATCCCTGTGTGCTGTTGGTTACAGTTATTTTTATTTCTTAGAAAAATGTCTATTTTGCTGCTACTCCGGCAGTGGGTTGAGCTTTTTTTGTGTTACAGTGATGTGTTTGATCCAACAAGAAGGACTCATTCTTGTCCTTGAGCATAATACTGCCCTTGATTTATTCCTTCACTCACTCGTTTCCTTACCTGTACATTTCTCTGTTCTATTATCACATTTTGAGGGGTAGGATCAATTAACTGATGTGAGGTCTCATAAGATGGCTAAGTCAACCTAATGGTTCAGTGCTCTACAAGGGGCGGTTCCACTTTTGCTTTTGCACTAGGTCTGATTTGCAAGTGACCCCTCCAGAAGCTGGCTCATCTTCTCAAACTGGCAGTAAACCTTTCTACTTTTTTCTCTAGGATTAATTTTGTGCTGATTCAGCACGAAGAATCAGCTTCTCTAGGGATCAGATGAGTGCCAGAGCTGATACCCGTAAAGGAGCAGGACCATGCAGACAGGAATGGGGAAAGAGAGCAAAACCACTTTTCCCAGTGCCATCTATCTGTTTAGTCAGCTCAACTGAAATGTGAGGCTTCAGCCAGGGCATAGGGTTCCTGTGTGTTAGGCTTTTTATTTTTGTCTTAGCATCTGTGTTTGCCATGTTTACAGGCTGGAAGTTGACCACATCAGTTTCGTTAGAGCTGACAATGTTCCTTTCTTGCTCTGCAGTGGGAGCAACCCAGCGTCCTGTGCCTCGTGTATGATGTCACTAATGAGCAATCTTTCAACAACTGTGCCAAGTGGTTGGAGAAGCTGAGGGCTCAAGCAGCTGGAGTGCACATCCCAGGTAAGAAACGGGCAAGATTCTTGTTACCTGCTCCCCTCTTGGATGATGGCAATTGTGCCTGATGAGAAGTGACATTGAGCATTTATTTTAAGCAGACACAATCATGGCTTCCTCCAACTCATTTGCTTTTATGACAAAGCAGATAAGGCATGAATATGTTTCCTTTGTGAAACTTTGTGGTAGTTGTAGACTGCTTTCTATGCCTCCCACTTTTTTCAGCTACTTCTACAAGTGTTCCAGCATTTATTGCTAGCAAGTCCATGGGACAGCAATGTCCCCTTATAGCCAAGAAGACAAATGGTATCCTAGGGTGCAGGAGGAGTGTGTCCAGCAGATCGAGGGATGTTCTGCTCCCCCTCTACTCAGCCCTGGTGAGACCTCATTTGGAATATTGCATCCACTTCTGGGCTCCATGGATGATTAAGTGACTGGAACACTTGCCTTACAAGGAAAGAGAGAGCTGGTGCTTTTCAGTCTAGAGAGGAGAAGACTGAGGGAGGATCTAATTCATGTTTATAAATACATGAGGGCTGGGCATCAAGAAGGGAGGAACAACCTCTTTTCACTTGTGCCCAGTGATAGGACAAGGGGCAATGGATTAAAACTCGAGCACAGGAAGTTCCACCTCAACATGAGGAAGAACTTCTTTACTGTGAGTGTTACAAAGCACTGGAAGAGGCTCCTCAGAGAGGTTGTGGAGTCTCTTTCTCTGGAGACTTTCAAGATCTTTCTGGATGGCATTTCTGAGTGATCTGCCCTAGTTTTGGTCCTGCTCTGGCAGAGGGGTTTGACTCGATGATCTTTGGAGGTCCTTTCCGACTCCTGACATTCTGTGATTCAGTGAAGTCAGCATTTCTGGGTTGCTTTTGCTTTGTTCCTTTTTTTTTTTTCCCTGTAGGTGTCTTAGTGGGGAATAAAACAGACCTGGTTGGTCGTCGAGTTGTGGAGCAGAAGCAAGCACAAGAGTGGGCTGAGAAACAGGGCCTGGAATACTGTGAGGTGTCAGTGGTGAGTATCTGCTCCTTTCACCATTTGTGGAAATGGGTGTTTGAGAAGTTATCTTCACTTTCAGGTAAAGGAAGATAATTGGGTGCTCTCCTCCACTTGTTTGCCATCTAACTCACCCTCAGATTGAATGTCTTTTGTGAGCCAGTTAGAGCAGAAATAGCCAAATGCTTATTCCATCTATTATTCACAACTTTCTTATTTCTTTACAGAAGGAGATAAAAAATTTTGAGGCCCCTTTCCACATCCTGGCAAAGTCATTCCACCAACTGTACAAAGAGAAAGTGGAAACTTTTCGCTCACTAGCTTGATGGCCATGGCAGGGATGACTTACTTATCCTCTAAGCTGCTTCTAGTGCCCAGAATCCTGCAGGATGGAATACAGAGAGAAGAAAAAAAGATGAGCTGTTTGCTTCTTCATGGTCATCTTCTGGTAATTCAAAATAAACTAGAAATAAGTAAGTGGAAAGACACTCTTCTGAAGTTGCTACCTCAGCATTCCTTTCATGTCCTCTAACTTGGTTCTCTGCTCACTGAAATTCTGCTAGGTTGGAGGAAGCGGGGAGTAAAAGGGGAGGGCAGAATGGAAATTGCCAGCTCTCTGCTTTGATATTGTCTTGTGTCTTGTCTGAACAGACTTCCTGCTGCTACAAGGAAGGATTTAGAGGTTTGGAGAAGCAGAGGGGAAGCTGACAGGATGTTTTTTAACTTAAGCAACCCAGTCTTGATACATACGCTGCAGGGCAGGCCTGACTTGGCCCTGCCACTTAAAAAACATTTTCAGTAGGAGGCCTATGCCCTAAAATCATCACATGGAGAGTGAAATGTGTGGGGACTGAGCTGTATTTAGGTGTGTTTCTAGGAGTGCCCAGAGTTTGAGGCCTGTTCATAGAATCTTAGGGGCTGGAAGGGACCTCGAGAGATCATCTAGTCCAACCCCCCTGCAGCAGGGTCACCTAGAGTACATCACACAGGAACTCATCCAGGTGGGTTTTGAATGTCTCCAGTGAAGGAGACTCCACAACCTCCCTGGGCAGCCTGTTCCAGTGCTCTGTCACTCTTACAGTAAAAAATTTTTTTCGGATATTCACCTTGAACCTCCTATGCTCCAATTTACACCCATTACCCCTTGTCCTATCACTGGTCATCACTGAGAAAAGCCTAACTCCGCCCCCCTGACACTCACCCCTTACGTATTTGTAAACATTGATGAGGTCACCCCTCAGTCTCCTTTTCTCCAAGCTAAAGAGACCCAGCTCCCTCAGCCTTTCCTCATAAGGGAGATGTTCCACTCCCTTCATCATCTTCGTAGCTCTGCGCTGGACTCTTTCAAGCAGTTCCCTGTCCTTCTTGAACTGAGGGGCCATTTTAAGAGCGATACCTTTATCTGTTGTAGGACTGACAGGCTGATGACTAATGACGTGTTTCTGACTTTTATAATCTGGTTCGTTTCTTCATTGTGGCTCACTTTCACTGCCTGGTAGGAACTGTCTTGCATCTGTACTGCTGTCACTTGGTGACGCAGTGCCCTCTGCCGGTCCCAGGTCACAAGATTTCTCAAGAAGCTATCTCTTGCAGCAAGCAGGACTTCCTACAAATTGCCTTATCTGCGAAATGGGGTCAGATAGCAAGAATACCTCTTTTATTCTAAAGACGAATACAAAATTTAAAATAAATTATCTTTTCTTCTTCATGTCTCTGTCACCTTATGTGATTTTGTGTCATTTTTCTTTTTGTCAGCTGAACTTGGCAGTACCATTAGGTTCAGTTCTCAATCGCTCTCTAGAATCAGAGTCCTCTTTGTTGTTAAACTTTCCTTGCTTGTCCTTGAATTTCGAATCAAAGGCCATGATTCTGATGTCGCTAGTAGAAACAGGAGCAATGAAAGACAACCTGGCTAAGTTATTCTGACTCAGCCATGTCTGGCTGGAAGTTCTGTATCAGAAGGGGTAAAATCCTAGACAGAACTGCTTTTTTGTGTGTGTGTGGAGTACTAGTGTTGCATGTATAAGGGTCAATTTGCTAATGCAGTATGTGAAAGCATCCGTGTAGGGTACTGTTTTGTAACTAAGCCTAACACTGAGGGGTTCAAAACTATAACCTTTCTGTTCTCCCAGATTATGTTAGCTTCCCTTGGGCAAGGGAAGCTGAATTTTGTAGAGAGTAAGCACTGAATGGTTTTTCAGGCAGGCTTTTCAGGAATCAGTGTTTCAAGACTTTTATATGTGCATTTTATAACCGTTTTTATGCCCAATGCTAGGAAAAGTACATTGGATTGAACATAAGAAATATGGCTGCAGATGTTGTAACTGAGTTTATGAAGCACTTCAAGAATCTGGAGAAGCAGCTGGTCTCATTTCACTGGCAACAGTGTGTTGATGCTGGGAATTAGCTAGGGAGCATGAATACCAGCTAAAGAGAGTAAATAGGAGCTCAACCACAAGAAAAGAAAACACATAGGTTCTTTTGCTAGAAGCCACCTCAAAAATTGCAGAACCAGCTGGAAAAGCTTCTTCCAAAGAAGGATGGACTCCTCTATGGGCTTACGGTAATGAGAAGGCTCACTCTTTTTTTTAAATTGGATTTGCATTACTGGCATTTTCCTCTTACATGGGTTGTCTTGTTAATTCGAGGGGGGGTGTCTGTTGATTTACATGGGCTGAGTAGAGTCTTGCCTGCAGGAGCTAGTACCTCTGACTGTTAAGAATAAAAGTTATTTTGGATGCTGTACTGATCCAGTTAAAGAACTAAAGAAGGTTTGTTTTGATTTGGTAGCTCATTTTCCTCTGGTTCTATTGATGATGTGATTACAACACAAGACAGATATTTTTTTATATTGAAAATAGCATGCCAGGTGTGTATGCCACCTGTGACATGGTATATAGGGGGGATGATTACCTTGGGAATAGGTGATAAAGTGAATCCTGTGCAATCTTTAACCAGGGAGTTCAATCTCTGCACCAGAAGGACCTCCCATAACTTCAAATGAACAGTCTAAATGCACCAGTAAGATGAAGATTGGTGAATGCTGTTTTATTAAATGAATGCAAAAACTGGAGGATCTCATTAAGGGAATGCTTGCAGTGGTGATTTGTGATTTATAGGGAAGCTGCTTTTGAGAGGTTAGTGAAGAAAAATGCATCTCATGCAGGGAAGATATATTGCCTGGGAGAGGATATGTATGATCTAATTAGCTAGCAGTAGGAATTCACCCACTGCCCCTTTCCATCTTCCCACGGGCCATAAGTAGAATTAAAAAAGGTTGTGTCTAAAGCATGTCGCCCAACTTGCTTCTTACAGGACTATTTCAAACACTAGTGTAGACATGATTTAATGTCCTTCAGAATTGTGTGTTTGACAAAAAACATCTCAGTCCTTCCAAATGCATTTTAAAAGCATAGTGTATTGTCCTTCCTGGGTAGTGTGCTATATAATACCAGCATGATGATGCTTGTTTCTATTTTTCTAGCTGATTTGTGACCTTGATTGTAGAGGCTAGTACTGAAGAATGAGTAGACAACATGGGATCCAGATATGGGAAGGACATGGAAAATAGTTTTGCATCTGTGTGAAGGACTTGAGGGTAATGGGTAGGTGAGCTGGACAAGCAGGCTGAGTAAGGGTCTGAAGCCATTATTAAGTTACTCATACCATGTTCACTAGCTGTTGCATGAGGATGCATGTTTGCTGCTTATAGCCTTGGCATCACTCTGAATTACAGGCAGAGTGGAGAACAGTGGGAGGAAGGTAGAAAGCCTGTCTGCTGGCCAGGAAGCTTCTTGTCTTCTTACAGCTCCCCGACTTCGTCCAGCTGTGCAGTGCTGTAGGTGCTCAGCATGGGTGTTTACAACCCAGAAGAGACCTAGCTCATCCAGAACAGAAATTTCAGAGGAAGGGGGAGGAAACAAACAGGCTTTTAACCATTTCAAAAAGATGCACAGTCTTTTTTCCTGCTTGCTTATTTGATGAGGCAAAAAACCATTCTCTTCTCCTTGGAGTCTGCTGCACAGAATCTCTGTTATACTTGTGCCCTGCTTTACTTAGCTTGATGCATCACCAGCTGATTTTTTCTATCCTTCTAATTTCTATATTATCAATTCCCGGGACTGCAAGACATTTCTTAGAGAGATTAATAGATGAAAGAAAACAAAAGTGGAATTTTTAGTCAAATTATCTTGAAAGAAAGAGCTTCAAGAAGCTGACTGACATTCTGAAATGTTACTGGAAATTCATGTGTGTAAAGTTGTCATATTAAAGATGCTTTAATGGTTTTGTTTTGTCGTGCCAGACATATTCTACTGTGGAGTGAAATGCAGGATGTAAAATCCCAGAAAGATCAGGTTTTATTGTGGGAGTTAATAGGAGTTTCAAAGCTGATCATACTATTGTAAGATCTGTTCAGTCTTAACAATGGAGTGGTCACTGCTGTTCATAATAAAGCATTAAATATACTGAAATGGGGCTGTCAGAACAGTTTCTTCTAGAGATTTATTCATTTTAGAGACTTAAAACTTAAGAAAGGACATCTTTCAGAAAACTGATCTGATAAGTGGCACCATTTGGACTGGGGTTATTTCTGATATAACTTCAGTGACTTGAAGGGCTGGATTTAGTCTCCTATGCCAATTGACTCCCCTGGGTAAGCTTCATTTCTTTACCAGCTATACATCTTGGACCGATCTGACCTGATAGCAAAAGACACATGATGTTGTTGAAAATGAAATACTGCCTTGGGGCAGAAGGATAAACTGCGTGGCCTCCTGAGGTCCTCCCAGCAATACTTTCTATACTTCTATTAGATTAAGTGGGGAAAGAAATAGCGTAGAAAGCACAAAACAGGCTAAGTCATAAACTAGCAATTAAACTGGGAGCTGGGCTGGGCTACAGCAGAAAACGTACAATCTATCCCAATTAAGAGCTGTATCTCAAGAGAAACCAGGAGCCTGACGCAGGTGCTGACAGCAGGGAAAACACTGCCTTTCTGTTCTGTAGGCAGCAACTGCTTTCTACTGATGCTTACACAGATCCATGGGAGTCCACAGCCCACTGAAGGCTGTGCTCTGCTTTTAATAATTGCTGTGTCTATGATGTTCAGGTGACAACTACTCACAGTTGTTGTCTTATCTGACTGTATAAAGCCAGCAGTGTGATGGCAGAAAATCTGCCAGTAACAGGAAGATATTCCTATTCTTGACACTATCCATGACAGAATCCCTTTCTTCCCATCATTCTCAGTCCTTCTTTTCCTATCTCATATACACTTCTTGATGGAAAATACCACTTCTGCTTGTTCTTAGCAAGTAGTTCTTCCGTCTTGCAGATGGTTGTCCATAGAAGCTGGGGCTAAGGGATTCCTAGGACCTTTTACAGCAGAGGTGGAGTCTGAGCAGGAGATCTTCAAGGGCCATGTTGGCCTCTGCAACATCTCTCTTTGCCTAAGGGCACATCATCTTTCTGCTTCTTGTGTCCTATT